ACAATGGCCAAAGCAAGTTGGCAGCAGCATGCTCCCAAGGGCCTGGCCATCAGGGCACCAGCAGGGACAGACGAGGTCTCTAGAGGGCTCAGGGTTAGTCCTGACTTTTCAGTGCTGGGTCTTCATTTTGATTCATTTAATTTACTTAATTCCACAAGCATTTACTGAGCAGTTACTCCGCGCCACTCTGCTAGGCCAGCAGGGAATACTGGGATGGATCAGATGGGCCCTCGAGGGCTTCATAACGGACCATGAGCCGCAGGTCCCTATCAGCCCCAGCAAGTGACGCAACACCAGCACATGAATACGAGGCAGAAGGAGCAGGCAGTCAGGGAAGCCTTCCTGGAGGAAGCAGTGAGCCATGCTCTCTGGGTGAATCAGGAGGTGGGGAAGCGGGGAGAGGGGTGGAACTGCTCGCTCATAACGGCGAGTCTATGTTTAACTCCAACTTACTGAAAAAGTGCCAAACTCTTTTCCAAAGCAGCGGCCCATTCCACACGCCTACTGGCAATGTACAAGGGTTCCGATTTCTCTGCACACTCCCCAGCGCTTGTTATTTTCAGTTAATTTTAGACAATGGTGATTATAGTCATTCTGGTGGATGCGAAGCTGTGGTGAAGTCTGTCCGTCTCTCTCATTCCCACCAAATGATGGGGGTGGGTGGGAGGGGAACGGGCTGTGCAAACCGGGCATGTGAAGCACTATTAGAGGGGACTGGTCAGCTTAGCTGCCATTACCCAGGCTATAAGAGAGATAGTTGTAAAAAAAAAAATAAATTAAATTAAAAAAAAAAAAAAGAGAGAGAGCTAGCTGTCACAGAAGTAGGAATAGAGAGGCTTCCCCAGACCATCCAGGAAGTAGAGCCACTAGTGGGTGTGCACTAGTGGGTGTGCACGAGATCCCTCCCTACTGGAAGTGGCGGGGGCTAGTAGAGACCATGCCACACCAAGACCAGAGGTTGAGGCTAGGAGACCCTGTGACAGAGCAGAGAGACAGTGCGGGGACCAGGAGGCTGAGAGGCAGAGCAATGGGCTGGCTTCCTGACCCAGGGAGGCAGAGGCCCAGGGGTCACGTGGCTTAGAGGCTGAGGATCAGAGAGCGAGGCTGGGCTGAGGGCTGAGGAGAGCACGCCTGTGGGCGAAAGACGGTGTCCTGCATGCTTTCTGGTGCTGGCTTGTGGTAAACCTGCTAACTTCCCTAGAAGTCCACCCTAACGGTCACTGCCTGTGAGTTTTGTGTGGCCATTGCAATGGGGACTATGGAAGCCAGCAGTGAGGTGGGATGTGGTGGGTAAAGAGGGGATGGGGTGGGGCGGTGTGTCCGACCTGTGCCTTGTGGCAAGCGGAACGGCCTCAGGCTGGTGAGGAGGTGGACTTCCCTTCTCTCCTGTGCAGCCCGAGGGGTCCGATGTGGCCTCTGTGCCCGTTGCTCAGGAGTAGTATATCCGTGTGGCTCTGATTTGAAGCCTAAGGGGCACCTGGCTCAGGCCTGAGACGCATGCAAAAGCTGGGTGAATAAGGAACGTCAAAGTCCCGTCCTGGAAGTGCGGTTTGGGGAGAGAACGTGAAATGTGCCGTGGGCTGTCCGGAGAACAAACACATCGCACAGGGGAAAGCACGGCCAGGATGCCCCTTCAACGCGAGGACGGCGAGACTTCAGACCAGGTCCTGGAGATGGACATCACGTCCGTAACGCAGGGGTCAGTGAACGGAGGAAGGCCCTTGCTGGACAGATGGACCCGGCAGCGGCCGCACTGGGCTCAGACACAGAAACGTTGCTAGGGTGGCGAGGACTGGGATTGTTGTGCAGGGTCCTGGTGTTCGTGGGTCATGTGAGGCAGAACTGACCGAGGGAGACGGACCGCAACCACTCATGACAGTGGACAGTTTTTTTCATGTGTTGCTGACTCTCCGTACAGCTTCCTTGTAGAAATGGCTATTGCAGTCCCCGACTCATTTTAAAATTGGATTGCTTGTGATTCTGTTGAGTTTTAAGAGTGATTCCAGATAATAGGCCCTTATCAGATATATGAATATTTTCTACTTCTGTTTTTCCACTTTCTTGATAGATTCCTTTGATAGACAAAAGTTTAATTTGTTTTCACTAATTCATTGTCTTTATTTCGCCCCTTTTGCTGCTAGTGCTTTTGACGTCGTGTGGAATCTGAGCTTTGTGACGGAGAGAGACGGGGGTCTACGTGGAAAGGAGACGGGGGACGCAGAGGCTGGAGCTCCAGCTCCAGAAGAGCCCGGCAGGTTTCTGTTCAGACATGCGGCTGCCGCTGGAGGAGACACACATGAGGGGCTTCACAGTTTGTGGGCACATGGGAGTAAAAGATAATGGATCTTTCCCACAAACTTTTTGAAGCCCACCCCCCCAGCCCCCTCACCCCCATGAACATGTGTGCATGCACACACACACACACACACACACACACACACACACACACACACACAGTGTCTAACCTCTGGGTTTGAACTACTAGATTCATGCCTCTCAAATGTTAGCCTTTTAATATTTGAGGGAAACCACAAAGTGTCTTTCTGAAAACCCTAAATATACCCTAAGTAGTACATATAATAAGTAGAACGGAATGTTTTCTGGTTCCGATTAAGGTTCTTGTTTTTTAAGTGATAATCCATTGTATTTTTCTTGTGGCGGGGTGGAGAATGTTGTGCCTGTGAGGTGCGAGAGGCCGCTCCGACCCATAGCAACCGTCTCAAAATAGCCCCAGACACTCCCGGTCCTGCGCCGTCTTCACAGCTGTCTTATGCTTGGGCCCACGGTGACCGGTCACGGTGCAGTCCAGCTCGTCCGGGGCCTTCCTCGCTTTCACTGCCCCTCTAGCTTACCCAGCCTGCCGACCTTCTCCAGGGACTGCTCCCTCCTGACATGTCCAAGTTACGCAAGATGAAATCGCACCATCCTGCTTCTACGGAGCACTCTGGTCATGCTTCGAAGACGGACTTGTTTGTCCTTTGGCCGGCCGTGGCACTTTCAATGCTCTTAGCCAGCGCCACACGTCAAGCACCCGGAGTCTTCAATCTTCCTCTTCTTCGTCCAACTTCCACATGCATGTGAAAACACCATGGTCCTCAAGGTAACATCCTGGATTGTGTGTGTCAACTATTGATTAATAGACAAGGCTGATAGTCTTTATTTCTCCTTGGACATCCACAGTGGCCAGTGGTCTTGGTATGCTGCCCTTGAACTCAAAGGCCCCAGAAGTGGCCCAGCCCTCTGTGGGCTTGAAGCTTTCTCAGTCCCTCCAGATATGCATGGAGCGTGCTGTCTAGACCGTGGGCCAGGACAGTCTGTATTTGCTCTATTTCCATCCTTCGTGTCTTTCTGTCTGGTTCAGAACCAGCTGGAGTCCAGTGCTGCCCTGGAGTCTGCGTGATGGGGACCACCGCCCAACCTCGTCTTCGGCGAGCTCTCCTGCTCTCTCGGCGAGGTCGATGTCTGCTTTCCTCAAGGCCACATGAGCATCTGCGTCCACACCCTTCATGGCAGTGACGGCAAAGACTGCTTTCTGCTACCCATCCCTGTTAGTGCGAGCACTCACAGAATGTGCTGGAACTTCTCTGGATCACTCTAGACATGGCAGCGGTGGCAATAGCTGCGGCGTGTCACCGTTGCTGTTTAACACTCCAAAAAGGTCTTGTGTCGCAATATACCTAATGCAACTGGTCTTTTGCTTTCTTGACTGCTGCTTCCGTGAGTACCGAGTGTGGATTCAAGCAAGGCCAAAGCCTTGACCACGTCAACCTCCTCTCCATTTTCCTTGTTACCTATGGGTCTAGCAGTGAGGAGTTTGTCGAGAGCACAACAGTGTCAACACGTACAACCAACGCAGGGGCCATCTTTACGACGTGCAAACTTTCTCCTGTGCTTTTCCAAATCACTCCTCACTCACGGGCTCCCCCAGGACCCCATTAAGCCCTACGGTCCCACTCAAATCTTCTGACGTGCTGTCATCAAGTGGGTCTCACAGAGATGGATCCCAAGAGAGCATTATGCTTGAGGCAGGCATTGTGTACTAGTTAAGCTAAACGTGTGGTTTGGTTTTAAGAAGACTTTAGGGGGTATTTTGGCTTGAGGTTAAAGATTATCTCAGGGTAATAGTTTGGGGGGTTCATCCTGACAATCTGGGTTCCATTAGAACTTGACATTCTGTTCTACATTCCCCCGTTTTGATCAGGAGTCTTAGTTTTGTCATTTTAAAAACACAATTATCTGCGAAAGCATGCAATGCCTCTTTTGTTCCATTTGTCACACTTTGGGCAGCTCAGGATACTTGGTGCCCAACAGTGAGTTTGATTTTTGGTCTTAACCTAGACCCACTGGCTACCCGCGCAGCTCACCCCACTGAAGGCACAGCCAGGACAAAGACAGACAAGGACATGCATTCCAGTCTTGGTGCTAAGTGCCGACTTCTCACAGCAAGGGTTTAGCCTGGGTCTGCTCGCCTGACTTCAAATTTAAGGCTGTTTCTCAGGCTTTGGGTCCAGACTAGCATTTACACTACTAACTGCTATCATTTTTAGAAGCTTTCTATGCAATTAAGACTTTACATATAAGCTTCCCAACAGCTCATGACGTGGTTCCAATATTCTCTTCACCTAAGCACTGAGGACACGGCCATAGAAAAGTTATTTAACTTAATTAACGCAAACTCACGCAGATGGGTGTCAGAGTTAGGGCTTAGCCAGGTTTGATTCCAAAGCCTATATTCTACACCACGAAGCGAAGCTGTTATTTTAATGATAATAAGGTCCCGAGACATTATAGCTCCAGTAACTTTTTCCAACCAGGTTACCACAGCGGTTATTCAGGTTTCCCCAGGCGCCCCGACTCCTCCCACCGCCCCCGCTCCACCCACCCCGGCCCGGCCGCTCAGCTGCGCAGGCGCGCGCGCTCCCTCGCGTCCGGACTCGGAGGCTGAGGCCGGGCCGCGTCACCGCAGTGCGCGTGCGCGGGCCAGCAAGGCCGCGGCTGCTTCCGAGATGGCCACCTCCGAGGGAGCTTCGCCCGAGCCGGCGGCCTTAGGACAACCTGCAGAGCTGCCCGCGTCGGTGCGGGCGAGCATCGAGCGGAAGCGGCAGCGGGCGCTGATGCTGCGCCAGGCCCGGCTGGCGGCCCGACCCTACCCGGAGACGGCGGTTACCGGAGGTTTGGGCCCTGGCGGCGCCTGCCCGTTCCCTCTCCGCACCCACCTGTCCCGTAGGCTCGCCCGACCGGGGCCGGGTTCTGCTCCCGCAGCGCTCGGGATGCGCCCAGCTGGCCTTGGCCGACACCAGAGTCATTCCGCGGGAAAGCCGACGGCTCCTGCCGCCGGTTCCGGGCTTTCCTCAAATGCCCCTGGCGTGCCCAGCTCGCCCTTTAACCTGATGATGCAGCCGCGTCCCAGAGGTGCCAGCCAGTGCTGGTCAGGGCAGTGCTTCGCGAGGTTCTCCAATAGCGCACCCATCAGCTCCCCCGCAGAGGTCCTTGTTTAGAACTGTTAGATGTGTAACCATTTAAATATTAACCCTACCAATCAACAATAAGCGACTGAGCGCATAGGCTTGAGACGCGGAGCAAGACTGCCATTGCCACGTTCTTGGAAGCTGGCAGTAGCACGTGTGGTTTCGCAACAGCAAGTTCCATGATGTAATGGTTAGAACTCTGGACTCGATGGCTTCCCATTTTGCAGAGGGCTCTGGAAAGACCCGATTCGCACAGCAGCCTGGACAATAGGGCAGCAAAATTCACTGCAGTGCGCCTATGCCGACGCCTAGTGCTGCTCTGGATTTCCGAGACTTTCAATCTTGCCTCATCCTTTTCCCAGAGCGGCAGGGTCCCAACCTCTGACCTTGTGGTTAGCAGCTCAGTTCGTCCACTGCACCACCTGGGCTTGATAAATCGGACAGGGTTTGAGGTTTACAAGCATGGTAACTATGGCCCAGGAAAGGAAAGCAATTTGCAAGTGCACAGGATAACAAGAAGGCTGTTAGAACTCATGTCTTCTGACACTGGATTCAGTGTTTTCCCCTGCTTACCAGTGGCCTGTTTTGATAAACTCATCTGTCATCCTAAAAAAGACTCTTATTATGTGTTCCAATAAAATTTTATTTTATAGGTTGTTAGCCAGATTTGGCCCACAGGCCATACTTCTGACATGCTCTATGCATAAGATCAGGTCACTTTTGTTGATGTTGGTACATGTGACGGGGTTTTATTTTGGTTTCATTTTCTTTGAAGTTACACTGTATTAGACTCTCAGGTTTACGACTGCCCCATCTAACTCATCTTGATTTCCTTTCATTTGGAAGTTCTGATCATTTACAAATCAATGTGTCGTGCTCCCTATTTTCAATCTGGAAGGTTTATTTTTACTACTTCTCTATCTGGGGGAATTTCCATGTGATGGTGTTGTGTGCCTTAATCTCAGGTTGTTGCCTCTGTTGGTTCGATGAAGGGTTCCATGTAGCATTTATTTAGAGGTTGGCCTCCTTTTTACAAATTGCCTGACACCACTTTATATCTGGAAATGCCTTAGCCATTGCATTTGAGGGACAATTTTGCTGGATAATTTTGTTGCCAATATTTTTAGTTTTACAGCTGTCATTACACTGCCTTCTTCCTGTGTGGCCTTTTGAAGTCAAGAGCTGTCCTATTGGCTTCCTTTGTAGGCATCTTTTCCTTTACACCCAAGCTTTGGGTGGGGTTTTAGAAAGTTTATGAAATGCCTTGGTGTTTTTTTTTTAAGGCTCTCTCATGGTGTAGTGGGTGAGGCTCTGGGCTGCTAACCACGTAGGCAGTTCAAACCCACGCGTGTCTCCACAGCTTTGCATGTAAACATGTACCGCCTTGGAAACCCACAGGGCAGTTCTATGCTGTCCTACAGGGCTGCTGTGAGTTGGAATCTGCTCAATGGCAGTGAGGGCTTCACAAAGACCCTCCCACCCCGTGGTTTTCTTTTGAGGTCTGTCTTATCGTTTGTTGAGCTTCTCAAATGCATTATCTTCTTGTCCTTTATGATGTTTGGGAAGTTCTCTTCCACACAATTCTGTCAAGTTATCTGTGGTACACGTTTCTGTTCCTTTAACAGCAATTAGTCTTCCTTGATCCAGTTCTATTTTGTCCTTCCAATGTGTTGCCTGTTTCTGGCATTTTATTATTAAATTTTTGGATTTGTGTATGTGGCTTTTGTATGGTTTCTAATTTCCATTTATGTTGTCAGTGTTTGGTATTGCTTTGTAAAATTCTGCTAGAGTTTTCTTTGAATTTGTCTATAACTTTAATACTGTCATTGTTTCCCTTCACCTCTTATTTGTTGAAAGTGGCAAGTCTCAATCACTGGAATTCCTTATCAGGCAGTTCCAATAGGATTTTTTCCTCTGGAAGGAAAAATTTCTTGGCTTCAGTTTGGTCACTTGCTTGAGCCATCTTGCAGCGTGTGTGTGTGTGTGTGTGAAGTTGCCTGTTGTCTCTTGAGACATTGTAGCACTTTGTCTTTTGTATGTTGGTTTGCTTCAACCTGATACTTCAGGCTGTGCAAATGCTGGTTGCCAGTTTGGCTTTCCTGGGCTCTCACCATCTGTTGCCAGTGGGTTTGGTAACAGGTGGGAGTGTGGGCATGAGTCTTTGCTTGCTGGTTGTTGGTTATCTTTTATTCTATTTTCTCTTGAAATCTTTGAAGCCCCTTGTATAAAGAATTCCAGTTCCTATTAGACCTACATCACAAAGGAAACTAGAAGGTAATACAAGGTCAGGCAGTGAACTAGTATGGTCTTTGCCCCCATCCCACCTTTTGGGGGATGGGGCAGTATTCTTGCACCTGCGTATCTTAATTAAATACCCCAGTCCCTTAAAACACCATCCAGTTCAAATATGATTTTCTGTACTTGAGCAAACTCTTTCACTAAAGATTTTAACTTGTCCCTTGTCACATATTTTACAATATGGGCAGCCCTTGGTATATGGGTAAGAACTTATGGACAATTTCTACTTGTCCTCTAATGTTCTATCAAGAAGCTCTCCCTTAAAACTATTGAACCAACCCTTCCTCAAATCATTCATCATCACCCTCACCTGCACGTTTTAAGTCCTTGAAAGGCTTCGGGTCTCTTGCAGCAAAGTAAGGCTGGACAAGAACCGTACGCACTGATCCAGCTTACCCATGGTAGTTCGTAATGGCTGTTATTCCTCACCTTGGACGGCCTGTATGTCCACATCAGCTTGTCGTCTGCTGTGCTAGCAATCACTGCGCTTCACAAACCACACAACCCACCCTTTAACAGAGGTTTCCCGTTTATCCTGCTGGTTTCCTTGGGGTTTGGGTTAAGATAATCCTCCTGATGTAGTTTTGTCAGTGTCTTATACAAAGACCACATTAATATTGGTTACTAATAGTGTTGTGGGCTGTCGAGAGGTTCCCTACGCATTCCTAAACCTCTTGTTGCACAGAAAGGAATGAACACAGCAGGCCCGAGACTGCTACCCTTACTAAAGCCTGCTTGAAGGTGGACCCTAGGTGAGCATCTGGGGACTTGGATGTGGGGAGTGTAAATGATAAAAGTGGTTTACACCGCCTTTTGCTTAAGTAATGTGGTTTATGCTAAACACCTGCTCATACTCCCAGAATCTAGAATTTTGGTATGTTAGGCAGAAGGTGCCTGCCTATGTGACCAGCTGTAATGAAAAACTCGGGTGCCCAGTCTCAAAAGAGCTTTCCTGATAGACAATCCCCGGCCAGTGTCGCAATATGATGCTGGAGGAATTCAATGTGTCCCATCACACCACTGGGAGAGGGATCTTGGAAGCTTGCCTGATTTCCTCTGGACTTGGCCTCATGCACTTTTTCCCTTTGCTGATTTTTCAGTATAAATCATAACTATATGAATGTTAGAATCAGATGAATCCCTCTACCCCATAGTTGTAGGACTGTGACTACTTTGACTCTGGGTCAATTTTGGGGAGAACTGACATCTCTTCACCATTAAGGTTTCCTATCCATGAGCATGGTGGGTCCCTCTATTTCCATCTTTCCTTTGTCATGTTTTTGCAGTTTTCAGAGTCAGTATTTTACACCTCTCTTCCTAGGTGTTTGATATTTAATTATAACAGTAGATTCTTGTGGATTTTCCAAATACATAACTGTACAATCTAGAAATAAAGATGGCTTACCTCTTTCCAATCTGTATGACCCTTTCCCTGCTGTGCCTTACTGCACTATGACGGTACAATGTTGAACAGAAGTGGACATCCTTGTCTTAGACATGTAATACATTTAAAGAAAGTTTCTGTTGATGCTCAGGGGAAGCCTGGGTTGACTGACGTCACTTGTTGACAATTTCTTTTTGTAGGCATGGTGAATGTAAAAGCAACCCCAAAGTTAGTCGACACAAGAGGCGGCTTCATTTTGGAAGAGGAAGAGGAGGAGGATCGTAAAATTGGAAACGTTGTTCATCAGCCAGGTACAGTGTTTTTTTTTCTTCTGAAAATGGGTGGTCTAGGATTGGTTGACTATTGTGCACATTTCTGTTGTTCCCTCTCCCAGTCTGCCTGTACTCCACTCAGCAGCTTAGTTTTGTGAATGTGAGAAAGCATGCCATTTTTGCTAGTAGATTAAAAGCCAAAGGAACACAGATACAAATGGAAACTGTCAGTAAGTTAGGTTGGTGAAGCTGTTGTTTTGTGGTATGCAAGGAGAGCTACTATGTTGACAGAATAAATGTTCAAAAATTACCTTAGACTGAAATGGAGGGCCAGAATCCCACACAAAAACTTTAATTCTTATATATGGGGAGGTAAAAAAAAAACAACTAATGTAAATGCTTCAGTAAATCAATTCAGGATGGGAATACTTTCATGCCATTTAAAAAGCTAAAGAATTGGGAGCTTTATTTGACCCCAAGTTTGACAGTTTCTAAAATCTTTTAGTCCTTAGCTGTAGCCACAGATCTGTATTCACTGAGAGGAGTGTGGTTCCAGTTCTGCTGTGCCTGACCTGTTATCTTTAGGTGAGTCTGGAAAGAGTAGCTTGGAACCGCACTTTGAGATACTTGACAAATGTTTCATATCTAAAACGGAAGTCTGAAATTGACAAAGTAGGAACAGTTGTCAAAAGTAGATCGTTATAACACAAGAAAGACTTCCGACTGCTGATGCAGGGGTGAGAATCACAGTAAGGGAGATCTTGCAGCTTACACATTCAGCACTAGAGTGTTAGCATGTGTATCATGTGAATCACGGTGACTCAAAAATGGAACAACTTCTTAAACATGTGAAATCCAGTCTCAAAGTCGTACCACATTGAATGGGTTCAGAGAGCACTAGACCACCTTCCCAGGATACTGTACAGCAGGGGTCCTCAAACGTTTTAAACGGGGTCAGCTCACTGTCCCTCAGACCTGTTGGAGGGCCGGACTATAGTTAAAAAACAATGAACAAATTCCTATGCACACGGCACATATCTTATTTTGAAGTAAAAAAACCAAGCGGGGTAAAAACACCTGGCGGGCCGTAGTTTGAGGACGACTGCTGGGTAAGCCCTGAGCCAGCATTGATGAGCTGGCCTTTGAAGTCCCTACGGTACTCTGCACACGAAGACTCAGGGAAGCCTTTCTCTAGAAGCGTGACTCTACTTGGAGCTATGAAGCTTGTACTCACATTTAACTCAAGAAATATCCAGAACCTATTGCTTATACCTCTTCACTTTTTTTTCTTTAAAAGCCTTTTTATTGGATTACTTAACACTGTTTTATTTTGTCCAAAGCATGTCTGTGTTTGGGCACACAGTACATCATGATGAGCTAATAAAACAGGGAAAAGGCAGCTTTTCCACTCAAGGAAACATTAAAAATGCCATCTTTTCTAGGGCCTGTTATGGAATTTGATTATACAATATGTGAAGAGTGTGGTAAAGAGTTTATGGACTCCTATCTCATGACCCACTTTGATTTGGAAACTTGTGATAACTGCAGGTACTTACTCTTTCAGACAATGCTACTCCTCGCTAATGTTTAATGATTTCAAATAGGTTTCGGGCAACAGAATAGATCCTTTGGGGTTTAACGTTTCCCTTATAGGATTTTTATTTTGGGAGTTTTCTAAAATTTCCGAGGCTTCCATATTGAGAAAGAAATATACAAAATCTGTAGCTTGTGCTTGAAAAACTTAGGGTTTGCTCCATGTAAGCATTCCCGTGGCTTTGCCTCAGAAACCTTCTGATCCTTGCTGCTGGCTTGTGAGCTTTTGCCGTCTCACAGTAGCAGGTTCCCAACCCTTTACCCAGCCCCTCAGAATCACCCCATTTCTTCCTTGTCCTGACACCTGAGTCAGAGGACTGGGGCCTTCTGGGACAGGAGGGGAGAGAAAAATCCCCTCAAGCAGTCTCCACCTTGTGCTTCCCTGGATAGGCAGGAAAGGTACTAAGTCTGCTATCCTTTATCTGCTTTGCTCTAGCCCAGCGGTTCTCAACCTGTGGGTCGCAACCCCTTTGAGGGTCAAACAACCCGTTCACAGGGGTTGCCCGATTCATAACAGTAGCAAAATTAGTTATTAGCAACGAAAATAATTTTATGGTTAGTGGGTTCACCACATGAGGAACTGTATTAAAGGGTCGTGGCACTAGGAAGGCTGAGGACAACCATGCTAGCCTTTAGCTTCTAATCTACCTTGCTTCAAAGGTTCTCCTGCCCCTACTGTTCATCTTAGCCAAGTCCTGCAACACTGTCCTTCCCAGTTTGAAGCCCCCATGGTTTTGTGACCGCATCCTCTGCTAGAACCTGACTCCCCTCTGACACACCCCTGCTCTTCCTCCAGTGGTCACCCTTGCAGTAGACGTCCCTCACCTGCTTTCTCTGCTCTACCGTGTGTAATCCAGATCCACTGTCCTATACTCACACCAAACCCAGAATCCTTCTGCTTCTCATCGCCTCTACCTCAGTCGTGCCCACCACCAGCTCTTGCTGGACCACCATGTTCAAACTGGCCTCTGGACCCTATTTCTGCACCTCTAGGGTTTTTACTCCAGAGCATGAGCTCCACAAATTGTGCAGCAAACCATGCCACTCTTCTGTTCAAAACTTTAAATAAATTTTTTTTCTTGGTCCATTTACAATAAAATTCAGCCTCTTCCAAAGCTTTCGTTCCCGCTCCTCCTGCTGGTTTACTGTGAGCACTGCTTGTTCTCGTTGCCAACCCCTTCTGCTCGGGAGCCTTTGCACTTACTGTGCCCTGCGCCAGGGGCCTCGCTATCAAGAATCATGTCAGCAGCGGCCTTTCCTGGTTATTCAGAAGTTCTGGTGGATGGCACTTTTGCCTGGCCGGCTGCCTTTTCCCAACTAGCACGTGAGCTTCCTAAGCACTGGGCTTTGTCTGTCTCTGCTGGTGTCCGAGTGCCTCAACCTGGCACAGAGGCAGGCGTCAGCTGTATGAGAAAAATGGCATTACTAGACTGTCCCCCGTCATCCTGAATGCCACTTCCTTTAGGTGGCTGGCCCTTGCCTATTTACCTTCCTTGTTTCCCCCATCCCGACGCTGTGCTTTACTTCCTGTCTTCCTTCGGATCGAGCCTTTGCTCTTTTCCTCTACTTCCAAGACATTTCAAATCCTTTGCGGCATACAAGGAACTTAAGTCTGAAAGTGGGTCTGCGGCTAATTTAACGCCTCAGAGTCAGTAAAAGATAGATCTTTTGACTATAGGGAGCCTGGTGGAGTGGGTTAAGTGTTGGGCTGCTAACCACAAGGATCAGCAGTTCAAAGCCAACAGTTGCTCTATGGGCTAAAGAGGCTTTCTGCTCCCCTGAAGATTTAGACCTTGGAAACCACCCCACAGGGGCAGTTCTAGAGTTGCCAGGAGTGGGGAGCGGACTGGATGGCAAGTTTGGTGGGATGCGACCAGGGCAGTTGCAGGTGTGCTGCTACCTTGGACTACTTGGAAACTTAGGTAATAAAGGAGAAGAATTTATACAATGGATTTCATCTGTTTTCAGAGACGCTGATGATAAACATAAGCTTATAACGAAAACAGAAGCAAAACAAGAGTACCTTCTGAAAGACTGTGATTTGGAAAAGAGAGAACCAGCCCTGAAGTTTATTGTGAAGAAGAACCCTCATCATTCACAGTGGGGCGACATGAAGCTCTACTTAAAACTACAGGTCTCCAAGCTGTATCCACTCATTCATTCCATGCTCTGGATCAGGTCAAACTTTATCAAACCAACTATACCTAGTTCAGATTTGCTTAGAGTTAAAAAGATCTGTTCTCGTTGTTTTGTTACAAGTCATGAGGATAATTAAAAAAGTATGGCTGCAAAATAACATCAGAATGTGAAGCAAATGTTAAGTGAATATACTTCGAACCTTTCCCAAATAATTCTGCCTTCTTTTGAGTTTGGAGACCAAAAGGCAGTCTGAGGGGGCAAAATCAGGGCTGTAGGGTGGGTGGGGTAAGGTTTCCCACTGAAATCACCCAAGGCCGCCCTGGCTACCGTGGAAGAGCACGAAGGCACCCTGTAGTGCTGGAAAGACTTCTCTGCACTGTGAAGAACAGATCCTGGCCGCCTTCTCACCAATGCATTTTTGTTTTATTAAAACTCCCTAGTACATCCCCATATATCCTTTGAGAAAATCTGTCAGCTACCCGCTAGCATTCCCAAAGGCCATCACCATAACCCAAACTGATCTGTCCTGAATTCACGTGTCCCAACAGATCCGCTGGGAACCCAAGCTTTGGGCTCTGTGGCCATCCACTGCTCAGACAAGTGTAAAACAGGTGCTGCTTGGAATCAACCGTGCATGCGCCAACTGGGAACCTAGCAGCAGTATTTTCCGACTTACCCTCATTGTCAGACATGAACAACACTGAACAAATTTAGCGCTCTGACTTAGCCTCACAGACGGACCCTGAACAAATTTACGTTTTGGCGTGGCACTGCAGAATGAATGCAGTGCTCTTGGGTAAAGGTAGGAGTGTGATCCAGACATACAGACGTTGGGAGTAAGCACCAGACTGAGACCAGTGTTTCTCAGCCTGGGTGACACTGCCTACTGCCCCCAACCCAGTGCCCACAGAACTCCCCCTCACAGCAGAGGCTCAGGTGCGATGCCACTCCTACAAGGGTTTCAAGTGTGCCACGCTCCTTATCTGTGTAGTGCCCCGGCTAGTGAACCCTACACATGCAATACTTACTGCTTTAGAGCAAGTTGGAATTGAATGTACTAGAAAATTCCGTATCTTCAAGTAAAACAGGAGAGCAAACTTTTCTACTTAAGTATTTACGGAGGTTTTCTTAGATTTAGACAGCTGTTCCTTATCATTCAAAATCTTTTGAGTTGAAATATTTAGAAATTCACACTTGTTAGATCATTACTTGGCACCCTAACTGCACTTTCCTATGCTGCACTTCTGTGCTGCAGATTGTGAAGCGGTCTCTTGAAGTGTGGGGTAGTCAGGAAGCACTGGAAGAAGAAAAGGAAGTCCGACAGGAAAACCGGGAAAAGATGAAACAGAAGAAATTTGATAAAAAAGTAAAAGGTAAGCAGCTACACGCACCTCTTCCTGTGTGAACAGTTTGGGAACAGGCAAAAAGGGTGTCCCCAGTAGGTCGGTGTTTGAGGGAAGCGTGGCAGCCGTCCTGACAGGGAGCCACATTTGTAGAGGTGCAGTGGTAGGGTGGGGGCGGTGCTCGCGGCCGAGGGTCGGCACCAATGAAATCGTGCACGTGACGACCGTAGTAGAAAAAGTACAGCCCCTCACACCAGACCTCTAATTGTCTAAGCTGACAGTGCCCAAGTCATGTAGGTTTGCTGCCAGGAGGGACCGACCCTATGACACCACCTTAATTACCAGAAACGACTATGAATTTTCTTTATCCTTGAAGAGTTCGAATTTGCCTTATTTTTAAAAGCATTAAGACCTTTTATGGGCTGATTTCTGTATTTCAATTCCTATCTTGTTTGGAGGAGCATGCGTGCCTTAGAAGGAAGCTTTTTGGAGTGGTTACATGAGCAGTATATGTTCTAAGTCCCTACGTACCTGAGAAAGTGCACCTGCTTGTGAGTCCAGTTCTCTTGTAGTTTGTAAACGTCACACTCTCTTCTGGTGTTTAATGGGTGGAAGTCAGTGTGATGCTTTAATTATGGCTTCCGCTGGTTGATTTCATCTGGCTAAGTAAGTCCCTGTCCACCAAACTGAGGGTGGAGGAGACGCGAGAGCTTAGAAACAAGCCTCCTGTGTGGCTTGCTCACAAGACTCAGAACAGAGGGAAGCAAGTCTAAATTTCAGTGAAAAAAGAAACTAGAACCTGGTTCTGATTTGATCCGCAAAGAAGTTGGCACAAAGCTTACCTTTATGGGAAGGTTAAGAGATGAAATATACCTGTTCAGATTATAAATTTTTACACCTCAGCAATTTGAGAATTGATTTTAAGGAAAAAAATCTAAGTGTTAGGGTAAACAAGGGGCAAGAGAAGTTTCTTGCCAGCGAAGATCAAAAAAAGGAATGATGACATTACTACTCAGTTTAGCTGAAGTTCCAAAATGCAGCTTCGGCCTTAATATTAGACGTGAACTTTCAGGTGGTACAAATACATGGAACATTTGGGGTTTGCGAGCCTCCTTCCACAGCCCAGGCAGTACCCGGCTTTCCTTCCCCCTCCCTGCAAGTGTGACATACTTCTGAGATGCAAGCTCTCCTGGCGCCAGGGCTGAAAGCCCTCCTCTTCTTCAGTTGTTCCGGCAGCCTCTCCTCCCCCCCCCCCCCCCCTCTCTCGGCTGCTCCCACGGGCTCTCCTTGCGCTTATGCCCAGAACCCCATTCTGAACCCAGTTCACAAGCACAGCAGTGAGGGCAGAAAGTAAGCTTCGCCCAAGTGGGGTAGAACCCATTTTAACTACTCCTATTTACACATACAGCTGAAGGCCTGGTGGATTTATTTTGGGACTCAACTAAACCACTTTTGTTTTTGTCTTAGAACTGCGGCGAGCAGTACGAAGCAGCGTGTGGAAAAGAGCAACAGCGGCACATCAGCACGAGTACGGGCCAGAAGAGAGTCTGGAAGATGACATGTACCGGAAGGCGTGCACTGTGTGTGGCCACGAGTTGACTTATGAGAAAATGTGACTTTGGGCTCAGTGATGTTTTACAGCATTTTATATTTAAATAAAGCAAATTGTTCAACCCTAGGGAGTATGGGCTCAGAGTAATTTCAAATGATGTTAACAATTCACCTCAGTGTCGACACCTCCATAGATGATGGGCATCCGGCTGGACGTGAGCTGAGGGAACAGAGATTGAAGAAGCGAGGCTGCCAGAGCTTTCAATAAGGAAGAGCTGGTGGGACTGTGCTCCTCTTCCTGAGAAACAAACAGGGACGGAAGCATCCACTTCTGTTTCCACTACTGTGGGCACGTGGGTTGGGACTACAGACAGAAGTCATGACAAATGGCCGGAACAGAGAAGTACGAGAGTGATGTTTTCAGACACCAATGTCTAGGCAGCCCCTTTAAAATGCTGCATTAAAATGGGAAAAGTGTGTTTTCTCCAAGGCTGAACCCTTGAGTGTCAACCAAAGGAAGTCCTGATAAGTTTATCACAATCACCACTAGCACTTCCTGAACTTCTAACATTTACACAAGCCAGGCAAGCACCCTTCTCAACCTGCCCGGAGAGGGTGCTAACTGGCATTGTGTTGGCACTCCTAAGGAAGGCATGGCATATCCCCAGTGCATTAAGCTCAGACTAATGCTTAACCTTGGAAGGAGGGTTAGAGAGTTAAACAGCCAGTAAGTAGGGCCTGATCCTGTGTGTTAGGCTACAGAGCCAATTGGTGTCTTTCTATTGGGACACACATTTAGGTTAAAGATAAACTGGGAATTTTCAAGCTTTTTTTGAACCCAGCTCCTTATCCTATAGCTCTATGTAGAAGTAGGGCGTTTATACATTTTTTTCAACCAGCTACTGGGGATTATTTTTAGACATGAGCAAAATTCAAGTCAAACTAGAACCATTAGACTTAAGGCTATGATTCTACTATATAACACATACTGAATGCAGAAATGCTTAGTGCTGTTTTCCTTTGGGGCCCAAAAAGCTTCCAAGCTTGATGAAAGGTGACTTAACTAGGGGTTGGGCCAGTGACCTGGGCATTCTGGTACTGCGTGGAAGGGCTGAGCTGCCCAGCCAGATGGACCTAGGTTCAAAGAGACCCTTGGGAAAGCAGTTGTCCTTGGGCCTGGTTCTGTCAAGTGGGCAGGACCACTGTGAGAGTGCTGTTACTGGGACCCCAGAAGCCACCAGTCACTGAGGCTCATCAACACCATTTTGTCTGGCTGGGATGTTTCGCCTCACACTTTACCCTCATCAGTTTGAGACCATCTTGCCATCTAGTGATCTCCCTCTGACAGCCAGTCCGCTTTACCCTCTTGGCAAGGTGTGCAGATAAAAACGAGTCAAGTAAATTGACATGGTGGCCGCAGCAATGGCGAGGCTGGTGCAGGAGCGGGCAGTGTCTCTGCCTGTTGCACAACAGGGTCCCTATGAGTCAGAACCAGCCCAATGGCACCTTCGATGATTTACAAGAAAAAAAAATGATATAAATCAGTTAAACTCTTTCCAGGAACACCAAACAAACCCCAAACTTCATTTGAACTGTTGCCACGAATAACTCCTGGTGAAGAGATCTGGAATCAAGGAAAACAATCTATGTTCACTTTATCAAAAGCATATTACATGGCATATTTAACAGAGTTTTGATTTATCACAAGGTGATAAATGCAGTGACGCAGCACCCTGTCTGTAAGAGCTCCACAACCAGGGAAAGTAGCTGCTGAATGTTTGCGCGTGCGCTTTTATTTCAACACTGTACCCCTGCTTCAGTTTTTCCATAGGTGTGGGATCAGAGAGGGACAGAGCAGGTCACATCAGTAAACAGTTGTCAGCAGTAACTTTTACACAAAAGAGAAGATTCGAGAAAAGACGAAAGCCTACTAATCCCTCTGGACTCTGAAGCCAGTATAAGCTAGGCCGACTTGGCGATACAGGGTGACGCAGCAGGTCAGGCTTACATCAGAAACCGGCTCCTGGAGGACTGGAGCCCCTGCTAACCGTCTCCATGGCCTGTGCTTCAGCCACGCAGGGAGGGGCATACCAACAAGTGAACACCCAACCAAGAACCCAGATTTAGTGGCCCCCTTTCTGCGAGTAGCCGACCACATGGCCTGATCGGGTGAGTCACTATTTGTCTTGGATGGTATGCGATTTAAATGACTGAGAAATCCCCATCTAAGCAGAAAAATAAAATAACAATCCCCCCCCTCCCCGTAGGCTTTTTGAAACACCCAAGCAAATACATGTATTGTAAATCAAGCAAACTTATATATGGAAAATGCTTAATGAATCATCATAACTATGTTAGATGCACACAAAAATACTACTAGTCATGGGCTCATTGGTACAAGTTTCTCTAAGGCTTCATGAATGACGTCTGAAATCCTAGAAACGTGGAAATGTCGGAGAACCCCTTGTATTTGTGTTCTTTTATAAGGCACTCATATTGAAGCCCCAGGACAACAGAGGAATCGTCAGTTACTGGATCAGATTTCAAAGAGACAAAATCCAAACCCACATTCAATTCCAAGCACAGCGTTAGCCAGTCTAGGTACTTCGAGTGCCACTTTGACGTCTGGGCCCTCTGGAGGGAGGAAGAAAGGACAGGATGACAGTGGTCCCCAGCCTGGCTGCACAGCAGAATGCTGGGCAAGGGAGGAAACACTGTCCCACTCCCAGAGCTTGTGGTTTACTTTTAATAATTTTTAGACGATTTCCAGGTAATTCTAATATTCCAGGCAAATTGGGACCCACTGCTCTTTAATAACAACTTTATAGGCTAACAAAGTGTCAAAAGATACTACTTAAAAATATTTTCAAGCAGAGAAAAGTATTATCTTCAGTTAAGAAATCACCATTTCAAAGTAGATCGAGATGCTACACTGTGAAATACTAACGTTTAAAAAGGCATATTTTTTTATTTTATTCAGCCATGTCAGCAATCCATGAGCTATGAAAAGCTATGCTACTTGATAATCAATCCATCGGTTCCACTGGTTCTCTCCACTACTTAGTAAGCATTTCACAAACCTCGAATCAGTTACTTTATGCCTTAAGGGAGCAAAAACACCAAATAAATCACAGAAAAGACCGCCCATGGTCAGCACTACCCTATTGTCACTAAAAGGCCATTTTCTTTTGGGGGGCCATTAAAGGTTCTCAAGTACATGCTCCTCACTGACCTCCCCTCCCCTGCTGTTTCCTTTAATAAGTGAAAGGATACTACAAGAAAGTAAGCATTCAAACCATCAAAAGTAAGACACATTATTTTAAGGTATTTTAAAAATCTTGACAGAAGGGGAAGGACCCTCAGGCCTGCAGGGCACAGAACTGCTGGAACACAGCCAGGATGTGCGGGTCTAACTCCGCAGTGAAGAGCAGGTTCTCCAGGGTCCCCATGTACTGCTGGATGATTTGGTGATGCTGTGGACACAGAAGAGGGCTGTTCAGGTTGGAGCGGGTGCACAGAGGCATCTGCAGCACAATTCCCTCGTGGGAAAAACAACAGAAGTGGGGCATGCTGACAGAAATGCCAGGAGCTTCCCCGTTAAGAAAACGTAGAGGTTGAGGGGAAAAGGTGTTCAAATACATTTCTAAAAGTTCTTTTCTGACCAACTTCCTGCCAATGCACAAGGTGCTGCCACCTCTCTCACCGACAGGCTCAACTCTCCCACCCCAAGCGATCTGGATGCTTTAATCGACGGCAAAAATGGGCCTGGAAAGACCAGAAAACCACCACCTAGGGGGCACGTGTTGCAGAAGCAGAAGAGCATGGCTGCGGTGGACAACGTGAAACCCATGGTCTGTGACACGTGAGAAAGTCGCTCCAAGGGAAACGCAAAGTGGCTGTGTCTCTACGACGCACTCCACACAGCAAGTAGCCAGGCTTGCCTTGAGTTGTCAAAGATCTGATTTACCCTGCCGATGCAAGGCCCCAAATTCAGATGATCTCCTGAAGACAAAGAATTAGTTCCGTTCTCCTACATATCTTTTAACTTAAATTGACAAAGGACAGGATCTGCTGTTTGTCTTTATATAAAGACCACAGGGAACTTGCCTAGCTTCTTTGGGTAATGTTTACTAACCCATCACTGGATTTTAGGGACCTTTATAAATCCAATCACTATCCCCTAACATGTTTCCTCCCTGCACATTTTATATGACGGAGAGGTTCTTCCCAGAGAAAGTGGCAATTAGGAATCTCGGTGATTAGAACCGATTTTAGTCTAAACACCCTGATGAGCAACAGTAGGACCCATGGGCATGGACTAAAAAGGGGTACCGGATACCACATATAGTCCCGGCAAATCTGACTAGGGCTTTTTGTGGCTGAAAAGTGTGTTTATTAACCAATCAAAGTGCCCCACAAACCTGTAGGAAGATCTGCTGGAGCCTCTCTATACAGTTCTTATACCACGGTGTCAGTATATTGGTCCCATCAGTTTCACACCGTACCAGGTGCTCGGTCAAGATCATGATGAAACGCTGAAGGGAAAGAAAGCAGCATCACAGGGAGAAGTCTTCAGACGCAACTGCAGTCACGACCAAGAGGCTCCATGCATGCCCCTGTCTCTGTGACCTGTATTTGAACGTTCATGTCATTACATCCTGCCCATCTAGACAGGTAAGCTGATGAAGATGGCAATTGGTACATACTTTCTGGCACTAAAGGTGCTTACTGTCTAAATTACTTAGCCTGGTAATTGTACTTCTTAGCAGTTATTCCAAGTAATAAAACATGTAACTAGTAATCTCTGCTCACAGATGCTCATCAGAAAGACTACCACCTCTCACACACACAAAACATGAGAGAAATGGATCTGAGAAGCATCTATGGGCACGTTTAACAGTATGGAGAAATGTTTATGGAGAAAGCCAAGTAAACAGCGCAGGATTCCAGAGTACACACAGTACTGCTAGGTGGTGTGAAGTTTTAGGTGGTTTTCATTTCCTTTGTACTTTACAACTCTCTGTACACATGACCAGGCATTACCTGTAATTTTTAAAACAACATTCAAAAAACTGAGATACTGTTTCCTTTTACATATTCATGCCCCAGGGCAAGATACCTGAAATATGACAAGGAAGAGGTTCTTCTGTTCGCTCTGCGCGGACTCCACTTTTTCCTGCAGTCTTTCTATTTGCTCTTCAATTGCCCCACCTTTCCTGTCACTGCTTCTGGTGTCACTGTCACTCCGCTAGGGAACAGACGAGGGAAACTCCAGTGATGTTATGTGAAAGCAGCTCTTCCCCCACCCGTCACCTACAAGTCCAGCGGGCTGTAGACTCACAGCCTTCCCACTCAGAGTTCTATTTACCAAGGTCTAGAGCGCTTGCTGCAGGAGAAAGACGAGGCAGTCTACTCAGTTAGGTCCTGGGAAGCAGCAGGGGTGGCTCTACCCCATCTTAGAGGGTCACTATGAGGCACAATCGCCTCAATGGCAATGAGGAAGTGAGAGCGTTTGTTGGGTCGGGTCCTGGGGAGGCACACGGCTGAGCGCTCAACTACCAGCCAAAAAGACGGGTGGGAAGCCACCCGGAGGAACCTCAGAAAAATAGATCTGGAGCTCTGCTTCCAGAAGGTTGCAGCCCTGAAAGCTCGACATCCGAGGCGACGTGATGGCCGAGTTTGGTTTTTCTGCTGCGGACAAGAGTGGTGGTGTGCTACAGGGCATGAGTAAGCAGGGCCCTCCTTTCAGGGAAGACAAACGATCACATTGTTTGATTCGTGGCGAAAAGTTTTGAGCCCTCTGGAAAACTATATTCCTTTGAAAAGGAATTTTATTGCTGGGAACACACACAGCAATACAAACCCAAGTTCAGGTTTCGACATGAACCATTTGAGTAAGGTGACCAGACATCCCGCTTTTGGCGGGACAGTTCCGATTTTTGGCGCTTTAAAAAAGTTGGAAAGAAGGCACGGCAAGCTAGGGAACGGTCTATTGGGTCCATATAGACCAAATTTTTCATCAAGAAGCCCCCCTTCCCCAAGCCCGGTCAATGGTGTCCCGCTTTAAATCTGGTCACCTTGCACTTGAGTCTTGTGTCATTCTCCCGCTCCTGTTCTGAGTGGTGCCTCCCCCATCAACACAGCCTTACTGTCTCTAAAGTTCTTTGCTAGTTTTTTTAGTTGCTGTTGTCAACTTGATCCCAAACAGATAGATCCCAAGAGTACAATGCTCAAGGCAGACAATCTGAACCAGTTAAGCTAATCTATAGCTTTAAGAAGACTTAAGGAGATACTTTTGATTTAAGATTGAAAAATTATCTCAAGCCAATGGGATCCTGGAGCCTGTTCTGCATTTCCCTCCTTCTGAACAAAATGTCCAGTCATGCAGCCAAGCACCATCCAGTTCTTCTGGTCTCAAAGGAAAGGAGGCGGCTATTCATGCAGGCAATCAGCCACACCTTCCATATGCTCCGCCTAGTCCCAACATTCCCTCTCCTCTGGAAAACTGTACAGTCTTTTCATTCTGCTAATCTTTAGTCAACAAAGTAAACCATTCAGATATCACAATTTGACCATATGAGCAGTAACGGCAGGAAGCTGCTCACTAAGAGAATGAGCCACATGCTGCTCCATCCTTCTAATAACTTAAAAGTGTGTGACTGGCCTGGAAGGTTTCAGAGCAGAGTTGTCAGCAGCCCCTGCTGGCAAGGAGGAGGTCAATATCCCTCAGTTAAACTCCAACAGTTACTTCTGTATCTACCATGAGAAGTTTGCAACCATTAGCTGAGGTTTAAAAAAAAAGAAGGGGTATGAGACATGACATCACTCATTGATCCATAGCCCTACAGGGGACAACACTGGAGACACGGTGTGGGAATTCCGCCCAATCTGATCCCACCACACCGAGGCGAAACACTAAGGGCATGCAACAGAACAGCAAGGGGAACAGAGCAACGAAGTCCCCAGGGAATACCACAAATAGACTTTGGGGCCAGGGCTGGGTGCCCCATCAGACTCGACCAGAAAACACTCCTAAAGGCCAACAAACGGTCCTTGAACTAACTAAAAGCTTTTCTTTCTTTCTGGGTTTTGTTTAGTTTTCTGTCATTGGATTGTTGGTGTTGTTTTGTTTTCTCTTGTTGCTTGGTTTTGCTCTGTCTTATTTTTGTGCATGTTATTATCTCCGCAGGTCTGTCTAAATAAGATAGGCTGCATGACCAATCTGGAGGAGAAAACAACGGGAACGACAGTTCTGGGGGGACTTGGGAGAGTTGGAGGGAAAGGAAATGGTGTTAACAAACCCAGGAACAAGGGAACAACAAGTGATCCAAATCGGTGGTGAGGAGGGTGTAAGAGGCCTGGTAGGGCGTGATCAAGGGTAATGTTACCAGAGAGGAATTACTGACACCCAAATGAAGGTGGAACATGATAGTGGGACAAGAGAAAAGTAAAAGGAAATAGAGCAAAGAGTTAGGAGGCAAAGGGCAGATATAGAGTTCTAAATAAAGGCATGTACATATGTAACTATATTTATATATGAAGATGTGGAAATAGAGCTACATGCATACATGTATAGGTTTAGTACTAAAGTAGCAGATCGACATTGGGTCTCCACTCAAGTACTCCCTCAATGCAAGAATACTTTGTTCTATTAAACTGGCATTCCATGATGCTCACCTTCCCAACAC